AAACCAATCGAAGCGATCGAGCTACCCGCATTTTAGTTTTGCTTTATCAAGCAGGGGCTTAGCCGCTTCTTTATATTATTTCTTATATTTCAGGCAGCATTGGGAAAAAAAGATACAAAACGTCGAATGGCTAAAAAGCCCTATTAATGTATGTGGAAAGTCTATACTTAACACACCGACTCAATTGGAAGCTGACTCCTCACAGGGTTCGAAAGTGAAGGTTTCAATCATATTTATAACACTGAAAAAGGCATAACATTGATTTACACTCGATAACTAAAATTGAAATTGGAAAATTCTTCATTTAATGATTCACCTATGCGTGATACTGATCTTTGCATACCAAGGGGCTGACCTGAACTAATGTCCTATACGAGACGAAGGCTAGGGATGAAATGGCAAGTATCGCATCTCCTTCCACAGCGGATGATTCATATCTATCTCTATCTTCAGACTTGGGCAAAACAAAACTTCTATGCGATGAAACAAAGGAACAACATTCATTCCCTAAAGAAAAAGAAAACCATTACCAAGCCAAAAGATAATTTTAATTTCACAACCGAGATTGCAAGCATGGATCAAAGATGGAATCTCCTCAAAAAGAAGCGCTATCGATACAAAATGCTATAACGATTCTCTAATGGAAGTCTTTCAATGATCCAGCTACTCAGTGGACTCCTTTACTTAGTGGGTAGGAATTAAATATTGAGTTTGTTATTCACGGAGCTACCACTACTTGAGCTTACACCCGGACTCTTACTGTAGTCTCATTTCCAGTATCCTATAAAAGAAAAATACAAGTCCGTTTTTATATTCCTTATAGCACGAGTATAGATTACCTCACGGGATGAACTTATTAAGTTATATTAATACCATAATCGGGTGTTCAAGTAATTACCATTCAAGTCTCGAGCTTCCGGCAACCACTTATCCCGAGGTAGGTGGGAAATTAATTCCGGATGGAGCAATAATATTAAATTTAAAAATTTTCTTTCTAGGCTTCGGCGTATGTAGATTCGGCAAATGTTTCCACATCTCAGATCCTGGGTTCACACTCTAGGAGTCCCTTTCTTCGGGAAGTGACAGATCAATATTTCATTGAAGAGAGGAATTGGCACATTATAATCAAAGATGAGTCGACTTCCTTATTCTTTTTTTAATCACTGGCATTGTAAATGACTGGAAATGGCAGGGCAAAGACGAGTAGGGGCAGATGAAGATAAAGAAAGAGAATCCGCTGTCTGCAAGAATAGGTTGTTACTGGTCTTTTAGGTGAGGCTCTTTACAGGAGTGATCTCTCTCAGGTGGATAGATAGGATAGAATGAGTCTTAAGACTAGTCTTAAGAAAAGAAGCATATAGCTTCTAGTTGAAGTAGCATGACATATAGCTAGTATTCACTAATGTTAAAGCGCTTTCCCCGGGAAAGATAACATCGTCTGAGCCCTTATCTATTGAGGATAGAAATTAGGAACATTAAGCAAACCAAGCAACCAAAAACCCTAGGAATGTATGTAGAAAAGAGGGATGTTGTTGAATAGTTCTCTTTGACTTCGGATTGAGACTTAAAGCTTTAGCCTGAAGGAAGACAAGATCAGGAACCTACTGTTTTATGCCACGCACTTGAGCTTTCTCCTTTCCCCCTAATTTATATGGACTTCCATTCTTGTTTTCTAATAGAGGGAAAGCCGATCTCCTTTATGTTCGGGTATGCCTTTACTTGTCGTTAGGAGAAGTCGTATCATCTTGTAGTTCTAGGATTGGTTTATGTCTTGCCTAGTAAGGCTGGTAAGTAAAGTATTGTCTAGTTCTTCGAGATTTTATTTTGAAGACTAGATCACCACCACCGCTTCACCTTCTACCCTCTAATTTACAGAAGCTTTCTCGCTACCAGAGAGCGAAGGAAGTTATACTGGCTATTTACCAGGCCTTCAGGTGCCCATTGGACTGATTGATCATATCTTTAGGATATACCTTCTGGTGGAATTTTGTCTTTTTTACTTCTTGGCAATAGAGAGGAACCTTACACTATCCCCTTCCCTATAACCTAAAAGGACTTCTTTCTCACCAAGTACATACATATGCTTTTTAGGAGCAGATGAACCATTTAATGAAAACTTAGTAATTACTCAGTAGGTTTGACGGAGGTTTTGAGTCTTACAAATTCAACAGGCCCCTGTTCCCTCCTAAAAACTATTTGCCATGCTAAACCAAAGGGATTCTGAGATCGAACTCAGATCCTATGATCGTGGTTCTGTGACGAAATAAGGGTCTTCCTATAAGTACACCTTAAATTTTAGGTTTACCTCTATAGGGCGGGCGGCTAGGGAAAGACCTATTCCATTCAATCCATATTCAACCCTATCCTTTTACTCTGCTGGTTTAACATAACTCCCAGCGAGAAGTAAAGCAATTCCAATATGCAGAGCCTATAGGGTTTAGCATAAACTATGTGTAACTCCTTTATTTTTAGTAAGGCGATAAGTGGAGCTGAATGAAGC